GTAGGGGTACGTGATAGAGGTAGATCTTTTCTGGCTACCTCAAATTCTCAGTGCTGCTGTGTGTTCTCCACCTTTCAAAAGTGTCCGAATGCAACTCTTCTTGTGACAGATTGGGTGGTTGCTGGTGTATCCCAGGTTTTGATCCTTGTGAGTCTTCTTCCTGTATATTGATGTTTCTAACGGGTCGGACAATGATCTTGTTACTAAGACAACGAGGAACGTCAATTTGTCATTTTGTTCCGTTTCCATGATGAACTTGGTATATAGAAAGATACTATTGATGCTGTTGGAAGTTTTGTCCACTTCCGATCGCTTCAAGATCACGAACTTGTCCTCTACATTTCTAAGCCAGAGCTTAAGCTGGAATTTCGGTAGAATCGTCCTTTGGAGTATACTAGTAGGCACATTTACATCATCCCGCAGATACATTAGTTATCTAGTGTTGGATGTATCTGTCGGTTTTTCAGAAGCTTCTATATGGTTTTCCTGGCCAAATCGAGGTTGGTGTATATATATATATATATATATATATATGTTCGTGTGATTTCACGGAACTTTATCCAGTCATTCGTATATTATTATGAGGGATAAATATGTGTATACGATGAATTCCCTCCATGACATATATATGTATATATTGCTGTGCTGTGCGACAGCATGGTTATGTTTAAAGGGCGGAGTCGATAGTGTTCAGAATTGAGGGTCAACCACACGAGGAGGGGTTGGAAACCCTAGGACTGTTATCTACAGAAAGCAGTTGCATTGGAGGCAACCTGATCGGGACCTTCTAAGCAATGAAGTGTTTGACAGAGATAGAGGCGGAAAGCTGATTCACCCGAACTCCCTTCGAGTCTACAAGAGACACCATCTGGAACTGATGAATTCCAGGAACAAATGCAACCTTGGTTCCAACATCGTCAACGTTGCTCTTAGAGTTGAGGACAGTAAACCGGCTTAATANGGCTTAATAAACGACTGGATGGAGTCCAAATCAGGCTGCATCCAAAAATCTTCTAGTATATCTACTGTGAGTAGTAGGATTGCATGTCTCCTGATTAAGATTGAGCTCCCTGTGCAGATGAGGTCTCGAAAGAGAAGGTGATTATTGAAAAAGGAATTGACGGTGGTCAAACAGCCGACGAGAAGTCGAAGTTCTGGAAGAGTCGTGGTTCCGTCTGGTGCCAGAAGCCGAGCACTCGGTTAGTGAAAGCTTTTACAGGCCTGTGCAACGTGACCTGACTTGACCGGGCCAGATTGATTGAATAAGCGTTACTGCTTGAGTGCCACCACCAATTTCCTGATTTCTGGAACTGTGACAAGTTGCCAACAGAGTCCGTACAGCAGAAATAATAAGTTAACTCTTTTACTTTACTATAGAGTTGCGTGGGTCCTGTGAAAAACCGAATGGGTTATTCCAAACGTTCATTATCAAAAAATGGTTTTTTGGTAGTGGAAACACATTTTCATGCCCGGTTGGAAGGTTGGAAGGTGACCGAGAAGGGGAGAGGAAACAGTGGATGGTCTCCGCAGATGATAGTCGCTATCCCGGGTTTAGATGAATTTGATTGTGATTCGAACTATGGGGATAACGTTGGCGATCGATCTGGGGCTAGGCTAAGTGAAGAGCTGATTTCGATTTAATTTGGTTCCCTGTATCAGTTACAAGTGCCGTTTGAAGTTTGATTTGAGAAACTATCAATCTGAATTGAGAACGATAGGCTGTAGTTAGCTTCTGTCCTGTTCAGTGCACCTCATTGGTCAGTTGATCGCACGATTTTCTTCTCCCTGATTGGCCACCTGTCTTTCCACTACTTTGNCTACTTTGCTCTGTTGAATTGAGGTAGATATCGATCTTGTCGAGCTCGCTGACAGACGTCTAATTTGGCCAAGAGTAAACCAAACGGGGAGCCCCAGGCCACCCTGTCTATTTGATGTTGACGTTTTCTGTCAGATACAAAATGATCATTAAGGGGGAATCTAAGCTGTAACAACGTAAGATCCTTCCTTGATGTTCCTATCAGTATTTGTTCAGTATCAGTGTAATGACATCAGAGAAAAGCAATCGTATCCAAGTTTGGTACATTGGAGAGCAGAGACGTTACACCTGAATAGAACACTTGATCATCTTTCAAGTTAGGTTCCTTTACGATTTGTGCAAACCTCTAAATATGTCTCAAGTTGCATTTGACAAGCAGTTTCACTTTCACTTTGTACAACCATTAACCATGCAATATCGTGCGCCGGTATTGGTAGCTGTCTTTTGACAAGTAAGTGTTTTTGCACACTGGTTCAAAATCCCCAAAAACCACTTAGTCTACCGATGAGGTGAGTTGACCATAGACAAAACTGCTTTTAAAAGCGGACCGTGAAAGCGTGGAATTCATGACCCAGAAGGCTTGATTTCGTCGAACACTGATCTATGTGATCTCGGTCTTCTGGGTAGTTGAAACTATTCATAATTTGTTTCTCGAGAAGAGGACAAGGCTGATCGGCGACGGGCGATAAAACGGAGAGGAGGGCACAATTGACGGGACGGACTGTAAGGAGACATTGACAGATATAGAGCCTCCGTTGGACAGTATTTACGATGGATCGTCAGAGCAACACAAACAAAACGCAATAAATTCAAAAGCATTCATGATATAATATAACTGGCACGTGTACTGAGCGTTAGACAATCTCCTTGGCTTGGAATCTGCCGGAGTTTCAATGGTTTGCAGAAGAATCTGTTAGATAATTGATTTTCAGTGTGTTACTGTACAAAATACCCATTGAAACAAAATTACTTACGAGTTCTGAGGGTACTGATGCTGTTCTTTCTGCCTTCATTCCTCATGGACAGTACAGCTTTGAACTCTCACGAAAACTTCAGCTTTTGTTTGATGAGGATTATTGTTACTAAGTCAATAGACCCTAGCTTCATTCAAGTTAAGCTAGATCTGTTGATTACAGGAACTTCTGTTTGTTTTATTGCACGTCTTATCCTTTTACAGTTTAGTCCTTTGATGATTACAATACAAGTGCTTTGTGTTCCCATTTCTTTCAGGGTATTATAGTAATGCTCGGGATCACTAATATACTGGATCCGCCTCCTATTGAGGTCCAGTAGGATTACGAGACTCTATAGACTGTTGCATAAAGTTTTACCAGCAAATAAGACGGTAGCCCCAGGAAGTTTTGCCCATCGCCCCGGTTTAAATTAGCACCAAATCACCTAGGCTATCAATAAGTTCTACATTTCTACCCAAGGGAGTTTATCCACTGCCCTTGGAATCGTTCCTCACACTATCGTCCCTCGGTTTTCAAAGCTACTGATTTGAACACATCCGGCCGGATTTTCACAATATTGTTTTGATTCGGAAGAGTACTGATCAGTGTAACAGTTAACTCCTTTTTCAATTCACGATCAAATACGCTACGACGATCGTACAGCAAGTCGCGCATATCAGCTAGGAATAATGTACACACTTGTATAGCACATGAGGACTTATATGTAGCCTGGAACGGCCCTTTTCAATACCACAAGAAAGAACATATCATTCATCATCTGAGTGCTACTGAATGTGTATCGATCCTGACAGACTATTGTAACTGTTTTTCATGATGGTCTATAGCAATCCCATGCATTTGCCTTGATTCTGTCGACTCTGATCGATATTCACCTTATTCAATTAGATTCCCGTTCCTGTCACGTGTTCAGATGTATTGGTTTCGCAAATTCAAATTGGAATCAAAGTTTTTTTCTGAATTGTGATCTGTCTCACTGACATGCAGTTGTCGATATTCTTTATTTGGGCTGTTTCTTGCCTACAATGGTGTGGGTATTTTCTTACACTCTGTGGTTACATTAACATGTATGTGTTCAGGCACTGTGTAAGTTCATCGCTGTTCTTTATTTTTCCAAGGTAGCACTTTGTGTAGTGCGACATTCAAACGGTTACCTAAATTGTGGTTAAGGCAAAGTAAAACATTTTATCAGCGGGCTAACTTGGAATAGGACTGTGACTATGTTTACGGTCTCTCGGGGCACTGAATAGAATGAATGAATGCTACTGAAAATGACCGATAAGCATAACAATGACAAAAATCTAATTGGATTGATTACTAGTTTTGCAAACAATCACGTTTGATATAAGAAGAGTATTTTCACAAAGTGCTTTGGCTTTTAATTCATGTGGACAAATTGAATACATCGACGAAATCCCTAGGTCGCGGTTGGTTGAAGTGTTTGATTGAGTGAGCGAGTAAG